GTAATACGAAGGGACAGGAACTACGAGCAGTCATTTAGGACAATATTGTCTCGTGTGTACTGTTTGGTCCGCATTTGCAGAGCGCTGATATGAACTGCGTATTTACCTGTGGAAAATTGTAAGTGTAGCACGGAGTGGACACTTTCGCGCTATAATGCGAAGGGCGCGTAGTAGTAAATTTCGACTCCCTTTTCTTGAAACAAGTTAACGTTTTGTTGTATTCTGTTCTTCTAACATTTTGATATTTTGACCCCCCTCTTCCAATATTTTGGGGGAAAATATTACCTCAGGGTAATTTTGAATCCTGTACTCCAGATAGTTCATATACCAAATTTGAGCATCAGTACGAGGTCAAGTTGGACCCGCATGAAGTACTGAAGTAGACTTTTACGCGGGTGGTTGGCGGGTGCTCTAGTGTGGTTTGCCTCTTCTTTCCTATCAAACTTTATCTATCGTCCTGTTTTCTTCTCCTCTTTTGTGTTTGTTTTTCTTTTGTAATGCCTATAATCTTCGGCACCTATATATTATGACCTTATTGTGTTGCAAGTGCCGTAAAACTCTTACTACAGAATTCAACCATTTTGGTTCCAGCGCAATCTGTTTTGTGACTTTTTCTATCTGTTACATTCATTCTCCATAGTTAATTGCCTTGCACCATAAATTTGAATTATACATTCTTGGCCATCGCTCTTGGCTCTCTATAAAAACTAATGGGCTCGCATATGAAGAGCAAAACTCCAGGCTCGCTATTGTCGAGTGCACGCGCAACCGTTCCCTCCATGCTTTTCATTTGGTTCTCAACAGAGTCAAATGGTACTCACTCCGTGCTTTAGCGAAATGCGCAATCTTTCATATTATAATAAATGTCTGCTGCACAGCAGTAGGAACTATTTCATTAGTTCTGATTTTTTTTAAAAGTTCTATCTCATACTGCGGTGGTTGGACGGCACCGCTGACTCATTATCTGTCGTTTTTTTGTCTTGACTTTTTCATTGCTCTTATTGGCCATAACTGTCTGAGCGATTTTTTAAAACTTTCATGCTTGTTTCTCTGGGGTTTATTTTGGTCTTTACGTGCGTTTTCCATGTACGTCAACACAACATTTGTTGTGGGTGGTTGGCGGGTGCTCTGGTGTGGTTTGCTTCTTCTTTTGTATCAAACATCTATCGTCCTTATCCCCCCTTCTTTGTTATGTTTGTTACTCTCTTGTAACACCTCTAATATTCTGGCGCTCATATGACCTTATGCAGTTGCCAGCACCGTAAAACTTCTACTAAAACAAACAACAACATTTGTTGAGATAAAGAAAGTTTGTGGGTGTTGGTAGTTAGCAGATTCTGATGCTCTTGTGTGTTTTGCTCCTTCTTTCCTAATAAGCATATGTCATTTTTATCTCTCGTTCTTTCCTTTGCATATTTCCCTAGTAATATTTGTTTAACCCTCGGGGCTTATATGATCCATTTGTGTTGCAAGTGCCGTTAAACTCTTACTAGAATCTAAAACTGAAACAAAACTTATTGTTTTCTTTTTGGTTAAAAATGTATTTCATTTTGCTAGTCGTATGATTCCAACCTGTAATTTGTGGTGGGATTGTTAGGCTCTTTGTTACGCGCCCATTGACACAATTTCGGCCATTTCTGAAGCGGATACTGGGTAAAATTTCTCCCCCCACACGCCTCTTTCGAACTCGGGTCTTCTGAGCGCGACGGCGATGTGCCTAACCGCTACACCAGACGCCTATTTAAAAAAAGGAAACTCTAGAAGTTGTGCAGAGAAAAGAACATGTTTCAAAATACGTGGCCTTTAATCAATTGTTACCGAAGATAGGAACGGAGAAGAGTTGTGGGGGGTTGGCGGGTGCTCTGGTGTGGTTTGCTGCTTCTTTCCTATCAAACATCTATCGTTTTTATCTCCCTTCCTTCTTTTTTTGTGTTTGTTACTCTCTTGTGACACCTCTAGTCTTCGGCACTTATATGACCTTAAAGTGCCGTTAGTTAAACACTTACTAAAACTGAAACTAGAAGAGTTACAGTACAGAAGAACAACCATCTGGTTTTTCTTTGTTTGTATATATTCAAAGTTTTCTGCACGACTGGCTTTGTTACCCCCAGAATGCATCGTTGTACTACTATTATCCTAATTATTTCCCAGCCAATTTTTTCTCTGGAGTATCGACTCTGCCCCAGTTCATGCCGCCAGGACCACGCGCTCTGAGATCCCCCTCCTCTTCAAAAAACAAAACAAAACCTCAAACAAAAACTAAATAAAAAACCGATGCCTGTGGTTTTGTGTAGTGGTTAGACGCTTCGCCGTCTTTCTGGTATCTGAAATTTTGTGTGTGTATTTGTGTTTGTGTTTGTTTGTATGTTTGTTTGTTTATAAATTTGTTTGTGTATGTGTGTGTGTGTGTGTATATATATGTGTGTGTGTGTGTGTGTGTTGTGAAGGAAGGGGGTGGGGGGAGGAAGAAATAGTCTATGTGAATGATGGCCGGTCAGCTCTATAAACCACGAGCCGCCACTGTGTAGAACTCAATGAAAAAACAAGTCAAGAGAACTGTGTAGAAACCTCAAATA